TGGACTTCAACTCCCAGAATTCCCCAGCCAGCCATGGGAGTTGAAGTCCACACATCTTCAACCTGCCAAGGTTGAGAAACACTGGGTTAGATAAAAGACACATCGATGAAAAGCTACAGTCTTGGTCTCAAAGACAAGTTCTGAGTGCCACCTGCAGGAACCCTTTCATACCCTCAGACGGTGCCTGGGTTCAATCTCGACGGGCCGTCCAGCAGCCATGCTTTCAGTGAACCAGCTGAGGTCTAGCAGAGCTGGGCCATCTCCTACAGCTTTGGCAGGTGGCCTCCCATTCTTCTTCAGCCACTCAACCACCTCATCTCCGGAATTGCCTTCAGACACAACGTGGGTCACTTTGGCACTAGGAAAAGCGCAACGATTTAAGGAGTTGAGCGATGCAGGTTAAGGCTTAGATGAGGTTAGCGCTAAGCACCCCCTTTGCTTCAAGATGGAGGACGTCAGGAGCCCAAGGATGGCTTGGCAGATCGAGCCAGCTGGCTACCATTCTGCAGCTGTTAGGGGTGCCAGAAACTCACCACTGCAGACAACTCCCATTAAGCAGAGCCCCTGTTTAAATGTGATATCACTGAGAGGTGTACACCTTCAGAAGACATGGACTGCACACAGGGTTTTGGACTTCCACAGAAGTACCCATTTAGCTGTTAAATGAATGCATTAACTTCAGCCTTCTCCGACCGAGGCACACCCGTCCACATACCTCAGCAGCCCCGAGAGCATCTCTTGCAGTGTTCCCAATCAGCAGGGCCAAAAGGATCCAGGCTGGCAACATCCAACTCAACTTGCACAAGCGGTTGGGGCAGCCAGAACCATCTAAGTTCTTAAGAGATCCGAAGATAAATTTGCGGAGGGTGTGCAAGCAGCATGTTTTTACCCGAATAGCTAAAGGAAGAACCCCATGCTCTGAAGCACCCATCTCTGAATACCAGGTAAATATTTTTAATGGCCCCTTTTGGAGGCTTTCTGGAAACACCTGACCGGCCCCTGTTGAAAGCAGAAAGCCACCCCAGTTGGATCTTGTGAGCCCTACCTCCTTTTTGAGGAATCGAAACCCACATTTCAGCACAGCCAAGCATCTGAACTGCTGTTCGGCCTACAAGGCTTCCAAGATCGGCCAGCCGAAGCCCCACAAATCTCCACTTCAACCGATGGGGATTCCTCCTGATTTACATTTTCCCTAGCCCTTCAGCCCACTCCCATTGGAACGCCTACCTGCAGGGATCATCCACACGAAAGCCTCGGCTGCAAGCCAAGGAGGTGAGGAACGTTTTGCGGCTGGCGCCCATCCTCTTCTCAACCAGACCGAGCACCACTTCGGGGAAACGGACCAGGCACTCTGAGTGAGCGGGCCCAGCAGGCTCAGCCCGACGAGGACGCCGTTTTTTCACCGGCAGTTGGGCCATGATCAGCCCCCTGATGGACCCACTCTGCCCTCTTCAGTGAAGCCCAGCTACAGACAGGAAGGAAGGAAGGAAGGAAGGAAGGAAGGAAATAAAGAGAGAAAGAGAAAGAGAAAGAGAGAAAG